ATAAGTGTATGGCATCTTCAGTAACTGGAGATGTAAACAACTTTAAAGAAAAGTGGGAAAAAGAACCAGGTAAATATTTATTATTATTATTATTAGTCACTTTATCAGCCAAGTACTTGTTACTTTCTGTATGTGTAGTTGGTAGATGCCAAATAGTTTGGGGTTTTTTGTACTTGTCTGATTTTTACAAGTAAGAGACAGCTGTTACGCTTGAAAATTTGATCACCTTGGGATCAAATTGAATGAATGAATCAAGATGTGGTGGAAAGTTCTATTTTTTTTTTCTGCATAGAAAGCAAGGAAAAATGGCAGAAAACTTACCATGATTTAAAGAGATGAGCAGCTGAATTAATGAATGAACAGAGCCAGACAAAACTCTTGGGACATTGCTTTCCTATTGGAATTATATAGCCTTTTAAATAGAAAGTAAGGCTTATGCAGAAATTTCATTTCTATATGCACAAGTCTCTGATCTTTACTCCAAAATGTAGAGGTGTTGAGGTTCATTGTCACTGGTCTATCTCTTTGACCCTGCATGCCTTTGCCAGTTCTGATTAGTTTGTGTTGTACTAACAGAGTGAGAACTCTTGCTCATGCTTCTGTAACTTCCTATTACAGTTGCCTGCCCTGCTCTTTCCTCTCTCTGTTCTTTCTGCTAGTCCATATTAAAAACATCTTTCAAAGAAACACAAGCAGAAGTAAGCAAGAACTTCCGTACATGTACAGAAGTTCCTCGTAATAATCCTTTCTGCATCACTTTCCACATGATGAAGTTCAGATTTCTTCCCACAAGTATCCGGTTGTTGAATCACTGTGTTCTGATAAGTCTATGCAATAAAATAGAAAAAAACCCAACCCTTTAATATTTTTGTAAGCCAGAAGTGAAGTCATGAGAACAGACAGATGCAATCAAGATCCTCATCAAAACGTGAAAGATAGGAAAAGGAATCTATTTAAAGCAAGGAAATGATCATTCTCATTTTACTTTCCTCCAAATCCTGTCTTTCAGAAGGGAACTCTAGCCTAGAGCATGCACAGTGAAAAACCCCAGTGTATGTTCTTCTGGGCTTGTTTGACAGTTCCACAGATATTTGTTTTGTTTTGTTTTTAAATGACTGCATTATTCTTTAGATGATCAGTTTATCATCTTTCTGCAAGAGATGTTCATAAACCTCTTGCTTTCTGTAGTCCAGTTTGCTTCTTGAACACTCATTGGTTTTTTTTATCTTTTTTAATTTATTCCTATTTTTTTCCTATTCAGTGAGGTCTAAACCAGGCTAAGTCACACCTTAAAATTCTCTGAGACACTAACGTCAGAACTGAATGCTAAATTTTTTCCAAGCATAGTTACTGAGACAGAGGCAGTCATATCTGAAATCTCCAATTGTATTGAAATCATCTATGCTCGCTGTTCTTTACTCATCTGCAGGAAATCCGTAGCTTTCGTATAAAAGCCAAACATAGTCCTGCATATTTCCTTTAAGAGTATTCTCTGAGCTGTGCTTGTTAAGCCTAGATAAGACCATTTGCTAATTGCTGTCACTTTTGCTTTCGGAATTTGACCTTTAAAGCATCATCTTTAGAAACTCAGTGATATAATTCCATGGTTTTATATTGACTTTAAACTTTTTTCCCCCATCTTTTACTTAAATTTTTTTAATGCCTCCAAGAAACTGAATGGCATATGCTGTTTAGCTGCAGGGCAGCTATATTTAACTTTACTAGGATGGAAACATGTGGAGAATGTTTAATTTTTCGTTTAGTAATTCATTAGAGAAAACCAGGAGAGATCCGTTTTCCCATAATGAAACTGCTCTGTCATTCTGTAAAAATAATGAAAATACAAACTGGTGATACAACCTGCCTACCTTAAAGCTCTTTAAGACATTTGAATAGCACGTTTATGACCATGCAAATTTTGAGTTGCATTAAATGACTGAATTGCAATTTTATCTATACTGACACTGTGAAAACTCTTCAAAGTAGTTTTTTTGTGATTCCATTCTCAGAGACAGAGATGGAAATTTCACGGGTTACGGCATTTGAAAGAAATAATTCTTGCTGAGAGACAGTCTGCTGCCTGGTACTCTCTGTTTACCTGATAAAACGCTGGCTCGCAGCACTGCCCAAATTTTTAATGCACGTGTGCAAGCAGTTCCCTTTTTGCCCGGTTCCAACTATTTTGAGACTGATCTTTCACCTCAAGCAGGATTATGTGGGTTTTTTAATGTCTCGCGCTGGAAAGTCAGTGGTCTGAGGGACATCAGGACCGTCCTTTGAGACTCAGGTGGAAGAAGCATAGTAGGAAAATATTGAAGATAAGAGTACTTTAGAAAGCTGTATGTCAGGCTCTACTCCTTTGAGGTCAAATTTGGGCAGGTAATAACTTGTATACAATGGGAGATAAGTGTAGTAAGGTAACTTGATTATGTGGACTTCAGGATGCTTGAAACACTACAGTGCTGGGCAGTGAATTAATTTTAGTATTAACTGTCTGTGGTCCTACTACACTCTGCTACAATAGAAGTTAAAAATTATTGGTTTGACATCACATCTTCTGCATTTTGACTGCCCTATAGCAAGGGGGCAAACCCCACAACCATTAGAACTGCATTGTGGACTATTTTAAAATGGAGAAGAGAGAAAAGGATCCTGCTTTGAATACAGTTAATATGTGCTATATGAATTTAATTATACTGTTCAATATAAAATAGGTTTGACCACATTTTCCATCAACATACATTTCTTGTTAGAAGTTAAGGTTCTAGACAGGAGTGGGATTCCTTTTCCTTATTGACTTTTCTCAGAATTTACGCTGCCTGCTGGACTGTTTCCTAGAAACATACAACTCCTTTCAATAGTTAGTTTTGCAAAATCAATCTTTTTTTGGTAGTGGAAGCTTTTCATCACTGTTTTGGCTATTGGTGGACAGCAGCCCAAGAAAACTTGAGAATGTGTATTTTGATGGAAGAAGATGGTGTAATTAATTACTACAGAAAATAATGTCCAGTGAGTTGATTTTACAGACACTGGATTATTTTGAAACCTATACAAGTGAAAATTGTGCCTATTGCTTTGTTTAGTTTTAACATTGTTAGCAAATCTAGCAACTCTCTTGCATCCTTTTGAAATTCTACAGGGTTAATATTACTGAAGATTTCAGGATGAGAAGTTAATATTATATGCAAAATTATTAGTGCCTTCAGTAGAATGAGACTGTGTTTTAAAAACTGTTGTTATACTGTATGCTTGCACTGTAAGAACTGAAGCTGATTTTGCTGGGTACAATCAGCTACAGTGTTATAGATGGCAAATTAATAAAATGTTAAAGAATACTTGTACATAAATACTGTGAAAGTACATTGATGTACTTTAAGTACGTTGAAAGGAAATCTGTAATGGAAAATCTTCCTGTTTCAGACATTTTGTGAATGGTGTTTCATCACTGCTTGTGCTTAGATTTGAGTTTAAGAAATAATAATTCAGAATGTTTAAATAAAGTACCTAGTTATAATTATGATAATTTCAGAATGCATTTTAAATCAAGGAGCTCTGCTTTCATGTGCACATACTTACATGTATTGTGTATTTGTTTTTAAATGAAAAGAAACCTGGTCTCCATCTTCCTGTTGACATCAAACAATCCTCTGATATGCAAATCCAGCTATGGGGAGAACAGATACACAGGGTTTGTTTGGATTCAGGCCAAGACTGAGAGAAAATTATATTTAAAGAAGTAATTTATATGCTTTGCCTCATTTAAATGAAAATGCATTTTGAAATAATCCCTATAACTAAAAACGTTTTGGTGAAATGTTATGATCCCTTTGTATGACTGATGCATTTTGCTATAGCTAGTTTAAAAACACCTTTTTCATACTCCTGTGTGTCTCTGTAATGTGTAGATGCAGCTGTCAACTTCTCAGTGGCACATTTTAGCATAGTATATGAAAATATTTTTATTTTTCCAGAGTAATAAATGTTTGTTATATGAACTTTCTTAGCGTGTGCATGAGTATGAAATGTCTGTGTGTACACATGCTATTAAAATACATCGAAGTACTTCTCTTTCCATCTAAAATTTTGCTAGTATTAATGTTGTTCATATATTTTCTTTGTGAGTTTAAAATCTGTCAAAATACACATTCTTTAAAAAGAGAGACTAAACGAGCAACAATTTTGCAGTCGTCTTACCTTTAGCTGCAAAATTTATAATGATCAAACTTGCATGTTTTAGCACTGGCTGAATTCCAGGTGTTCAGTATGTATTTTTGGAGGACTATTATTCCAGTCCCTGGATATAATATGTGAAGGAGATGTGTGTAGCAGAGCGTAATTATGTTTCACGTAAGCTTTAACAGGCCATTGAACTGTTATTAGTGATTGGTAGTGGTTGTTTATACAGGATGGAAAATATTTGAACAGGAGTTAGATCACTAGTAAATTTTCAGAAATCACAGTTCCTTTAGTCCCCTTTTATGTATTGCAGAAGTTTCTAAATCTAATCCAATCAGCTCTTCTTACATGGTCTTTCTGATTGTTTATCGCTGTGATTTTTTTTTTTTTTATTTATTTAGAAAATGAGGATATGGAAATCAATTTTGATGTAAGGAAGTATTTCCATTAGGAAGTTCTGTGGCACATACCTTTGTATCTGTCCTTTTACTTGTTCTGTGGCCACACACTCTGCTAAACTATTCTTCCCACACTGAGGATTGCTCAATTTCATGTAAATCCTTTTTGTGGGATAGCAGTTTTATTTCACTAATGTAATTTGTGACTCTGTGTTCACTTACTTAAACACATATATTGATGATACATGTATTAATATTTAAGGAAAAAGCTTTCTGTGTCAAGAAATGTTGTTACACCTTTCTCATTAGATTTTGAGCCTCTTCTATTTGGTTTTTAAATAAAGGATTTTCTAACTTTTCTTTTTTTCAGTCATTTTATGCAAGTTTTAAATTTTAATATTGAGTGTCCATCTTTTTTACTTTAAGCATTTTAAGAAGCAGAAGCGGTTGATTCCTGAAAGAACAGTTTGGAAGTACTTCGTTCAGCTTTGCAGTGCCTTGGAACATATGCATTCTCGTCGTGTTATGCACAGAGGTAATATAGGATCAAAGATGATTTGTATTTATTGAACCTTTTACTATGTGAGAATTAAACTGGTTCAATGCAAATGACACCAAATAATGTCATAATGGAATCAATTTTGACAGCTGACACAATGTAAGTTTCTGTGATGTTTTGTAATGGAAAAGTGTGACAGAAGTGTGGGGTTGTACATTTGTTGTGGTAGGAATTTGTTTGCGGCAATGGCTTGTGATACCAAGTTTTCAAAATAAGTGATAACCTTTCTCATTAGATGTTGAGCCTCTTCTATTTGGTTTTTAAATAACTTTCTGTGTCAAGAAATGTTGTTACACCTTTCTCATTAGATTTTGAGCCTCTTCTATTTGGTTTTTAAATAAAGGATTTTCTAACTTTTCTTTTTTTCAGTCATTTTATGCAAGTTTTAAATTTTAATATTGAGTGTCCATCCTTTTTACTTTAAGCATTTTAAGAAGCAGAAGCGGTTGATTCCTGAAAGAACAGTTTGGAAGTACTTCGTTCAGCTTTGCAGTGCCTTGGAACATATGCATTCTCGTCGTGTTATGCACAGAGGTAATATAGGATCAAAGATGATTTGTATTTATTGAACCTTTTACTATGTGAGAATTAAACTGGTTCAATGCAAATGACACCAAATAATGTCATAATGGAATCAATTTTGACAGCTGACACAATGTAAGTTTCTGTGATGTTTTGTAATGGAAAAGTGTGACAGAAGTGTGGGGTTGTACATTTGTTGTGGTAGGAATTTGTTTGCGGCAATGGCTTGTGATACCAAGTTTTCAAAATAAGTGATAGTTCTGTAAATGATGGAGACCATGCCGCTGCTACCTCTTTTCTTGCTCAGTTCATTTTTTGGCTCTTATTTTCTATCCTGTTCTTACTCTCCTATATTTGCCCATTGTCTTTCTAAAGTATTGTTACCTGCATTCTTGAACAGTTATCCATCCATTCTTTTCACCTCTTGCACCTTTTTTTTTTAATTACAGAAGTATTTGCTTCCTTCCATGCCTTCTAGTGATGTGTAGGCCCTTCTCCCAGTCCCTTATCTACTAGATTATGTGCAGCTGTGAGCATTTTCTCCCCTTCTCTGCTCTTCTCTGCTATTTCCAAACTCTGTGTCAAGTACCGTGTCCCAACAGCCCTTGTAGTTGCCAGCTACCCCTGTCAGGTGCTAAATCTCTTTTACCCATTTCAGGCCTCTGTACTGCTGTCTCCTCCATATGTTGTCTTCATTTTACCTTGTAACTCTGAGTCAAAGCAAACAGATTGTAGTATAGCTGCTTCTCAGATGTACAATTTTTTTTTTTTTTTCTCCTTGGAAGTCCCTCTGGCTATGAGTTGCAAGTTGTATATGGGCTGTCTCTCTGAGTTAGGTGAAATTACATGTCTTGGGTTGGTGACTTCCTTCTGCTGGGATGCAAATAGCTGCCTGAAAGCAGAAGTCCCTCAATCTCTGAGCTTTGTCATTTGCAGCTAGAGATGTTGCACCCTTCAGCAGATAAACTTAGGTACTTGTGCCCCTGCCCCTGCAAATGTCTTTCCCTTCTGATTCTCCTTTTTATTTTTTTCCCTTTGCGCATTTGTTCAGATATCTGCAAGTGCAAATTCTACAAAGAGAAGGACATCAAATTACAGATTCTTTCCATAGGGTATAGGTGTCTTCTTTTAATGCTTTTATGACTAGCCTAGTTTATTTCAGTATATTTTAGCTGAAAACCAAAAAGAGTTTAAATTCCTTAAACTGAAATACTACCTTTGAAGCTTCTGGCAAACCTACGGCAAATCTATCAATTCCATGGTTCCGCACCAAAACCAATGACAATTAAAGCTATTTTTAAGTTGAGCTGATATCCACGTTGGATTGTTACACAAAGGGTGATCCAAGCTCCTGAAAACTAGGTCAGATAGCAGCATAACATAATTGCTTATGTCTGTCTTTCTAAAGCTTATAAGGTTTTGTAACTTTTTACTGTAAATCTGAAAATGCTGGTGTTTGAAGGGTTATTAACCATTCCTTTTACTGTACCAATATCTGTGCAGACTATAATTCCCTCTTACTAAAATTAAGTGATTTTCTTTAAGTTTAGAGCCACAGCGTGTTGCTCTTGAGCTGAGTAAGAGCTAAGCACACTTGCCAAACAAGTATCAGGTCAGTTTATTTAGAAGACTAACAGGATAGGTACCTTGTTAAAAGTCAGGAAAGAAAAATCTTTGCTGTTGTCTCTAAAGGATTGGATTAAAACTTAAACTAAATATTACTTGTGAAAAATAACTGTCTGGGGTATACATCGTTATTTTTCTTTGTTTCTACTTGATTAGCCCAATTCCATTGATGAGTTCAAATAGCCATTCTCCTGAGTAAAACTTGCTTCTTTTTTTTAATGCCTGCTATTGAAGAGAATCATTTACCTATTACAAATAAATAACATCATGCTACTGTAGGTAATCTGATCACCAAAAGTGATGAAGAACATGTTTTACAGTTCTTGAAACGTTTTTGGTCTGTTACTTAAAGACATAATCAGAGGTTTTCCAGTTCTAATAGACATCCTTGTATATAGCTTATATCAAATAGTAATGAACTCCCTGTATATGCTTCTTTGGATGTGGGGGTGTTTTGGTTTGTTTTTTATTGTTGTTGATTGTTTGCTTGTTTTTTTAAAAATAATTTCCATGGCTCTTAATTTTTTGCCTGAGCGCTGTTTGTACTGTGGAACAAGTTAATTTGAAATTCTGAATCACAGACTGCCTCTCTCTGAACAGCACAATCAAATTTTATTAATATTAGCTGCAAATAAAAGCCTCTTTCAGTCTGTTACTATTAGAACAGTAACTTTTCTTGTAACCTCATTGTGACTTTTAAATTTCCTAATTCTTTTTTTTCAGATATAAAGCCAGCTAATGTGTTCATTACAGCTACAGGGGTAGTAAAGCTTGGAGACCTTGGACTTGGTCGATTTTTCAGCTCCAAAACCACAGCAGCACATTCTTTAGGTAAGATTTCACTGAGGTAGATGTATTGGGGAGGTGGATTTTTTTACATGGTGGAGATACTGTGCCTGCTCAGGAGAGTGGAGGAAAGGCTTAGGTCCAGCTAAAGCTTTTCTTAAATAACAATAATAAAATGGTCAGCACCCTGGACAAATACAGAAAAGCCATGACACTGAGATGTCACTTTCAGCAGTACCAGTACAGCTTGGTTTTGGGGGTTTTCCCTTTTTTTTCTTTTCCCTTTAGTTTGACTCATTTAATGTACATTCCTGGCTCAAAACAAGTCTTCATGATAGTAGTGTTCTCTAGAAATGCTAGGAAAAATAAGATCAATAATATGGATGCTTTTTTTAAAATTCACTTGAACTTTAATCACTGTTGGAAAGAATCTAGTAGTTCCGTGTGCTTGTCTGGGTAACACTGATGACATGTTGGTTATATGCTTTGAAAGGGCTAAAGAGAACCTTCCCTGTTTTAAGTTAAACAAGTCAAGGAGATCAGAATTAGGTTTCATGGACCATAAAGTCTTTAAAAACAAGCAACAAAAGCAGCAAAACAAGCAACAAAAACACATCCCAGAAAATGCTATTCTTATTTTTATAAGAATAGCAAAATCTTTCTGAAACGCCCAATGTAGTCTTTGCTATCGCATTAAATAATAACATTGTATTATCTTTTTCCAAATAAAATTTTCACGTAATTTGCATCTGTTTAGTAGTATGTAGAGACTAGAATGATTGAGAAGCCTTTAAAGAAGAAAAAGTTACAATTTGGCAGAAATTTTAAGTATAGGGAATGGACAAATGACAAAATCTAAGAGGATCTCTGAAAGAGAAAAGCCTTGTAAATAGAGTAGCATCTGCTTTAAAGAGGAATAAAAGAATTAGTGTTTATCATATGGTTATGTATTTTTTATTTCAGTTAAGAGAAAAAAATTCTTTTCCCCTGCTGAAGCAACTATGTTTAGTAGTTGCTGAATTCAAGCCTTTTTACTGACTGCAAAGGGTGTGAAATAAACTTTTAGACCCCTCAAGGGCAAGGCCATTGGTGGCAGCAGCCACCTGTTCCTGTTCCTTGTAAAGGCCAGCAGAGCACCTTACTGATACTTGAATACAGATAGGTAAAATCAATTCAAATGCTGCTCAGTGAGAACTTTTAATAAATGACAGTTACAATTCTGTAATCATGCATTTGGATATTTTCATGTTTGACAAGATAAGGAAGACAATACCTAAGAAAGCCAAAAATTGTTAAATAGTACTTATAATCCTGTAGGCCATGGGAGGACACACAAAGAATAGTGTTTGCTCGGATGCTGATGTTTCTAATTAGGCTATGAGATATCAGACTTCTTGGATTAAAATATGCCATATTTATCATCACCTCTTAATTTAACTTTATTCAGTACAGTTGGAAAAAAAGAGAAGATTGATGTTCACCATGTTTGTGCTACATCTGAGGTGTGGGCGATACTTGTCTTAACAGCCAAAAACCCCTATTTTAGAAAGTAAGGATCGTATCAAAAATTTCCTTCCTTGTCTTCCAGAAAGCCTTTGGTCACCCTCTTGTGCCTTCTCTTTTTTTATCCTGTCTGGCGTGTACTGATACTAGTATGGTCAAAGCCATGAGTAACCACTGAGGTGCTGATAGGACTGAGGTGGAACTCAGACATAGATGTGCAATCTTACGTTAATAAAAACGAGAGAGCCAGAGGAGCAGCAGTGAGACCAGACTGGAAATGTGCTTGGGTTCCACATCAAAGTTCAGGTATAACTGTAAAGATCTGATAGTAGTTCGTGGTGGAGTGCTGCTGTTCGTGCTGTCGTCAGAGCCCAGGAGCCATCTCTGGCAGCACTGTGAGGATCTTGTATGTCAGAGTTGGGTCCTGCTACTGCCTGCAAATGGAAAAATGATGTAAACGAGCAGTGAGAAGAGGGAGCTGCTCCTGGACTGTATTTGCAGGAAGCTGTAAATCCTAATCCGTGGGTAGGAGCACATGAAGAAGGCAAAAGTCAGTTGTGAGGGCGGCAGAGCTACACTTGTGTTCTGAGGCAGAAGTCAGGAAGTTAAAGAGGAACAAACTGCTTCAGCCCTGGGTTATTTTGGTTCATTGCGGGGGAATTGTTGCAAAGGGACTGAAGGCTGAGCTAGAGTTAAAAACAGCGTAAAACCCCCAAGCCCTTTAAAGCTCATCTCTTACAAATACAAGAGTTACCCAGAGAGCAAGGGAGGAGGGGGATGGAAGCTTTGTTTCTAATGTTGGGTGCTGTGTCGTGGTGGAGGAGCTGTTATTTTTTTATTTTCTTTCCCCCCCATCTCTTCTTCTTCCATTTCCCTCTTAATTATAACTTAATGTCAGAATTCAGCCTAGGAAAAAGGTTTTGTTCAGCTGTTAACCTAGGCTGTAGTGGAGACAGTGACACTCTGATTTATGGTGTCATTAGCACAGACCACTTTTTGAAATTAATTTGTCATGCAGTTTCTGATGCTGGTTTTCCTGAAATTTCTTTCAAAGTTGTATCTTTTTATGATGCCATAAAACTTTGGTGCCCAAAACCCAGTGAATTACAAACGTATTATGTGTAGCAATTTATACTTGTTTACAGGCTTTATAAAAATTTCAGTAGCAAACTAGATTCAGGCTTTCAGAGATAAAGAAATGCACTAAAATTTTCATTAGCTATAGCTTCTAAGTGCTAATTATGAATAATACTGATTTAATTAGAATACTTGCTGATGGTCCATTTGAAACAAATGAAAGTACTGCACTGGACAGGGTTTGTTAATGTTCTTAACTCTTTCTATACAGCCTCATGAAAACAGTAGAATTTTGTGTTGTGGTGTGTGTATATCTTTTTGAACATAGAAAATCCTTCTTCCAAAAATGCAAAGGAAAGGGAGGATTTGGTATTGTTGATTTGATAGAAACTTGACAAAATTTCTTGATTTCAGAAGACTTTATATTAGAAAGGGGAAGAAGATGATCCAAGAAAGGCTTCTTATTAGTTTCCCTATGCCTGTGTATGTTAGGGGTTTTTATTTTTGTTGTTTTTTAGTAGCTGAATGCCAGGCCTTGTGCTCTTTGATGTAGTGGCAATTCTGAGGCCAGCTCATGGAAATGTGCATTTTTAAGTCATTTAGTGGACTTAAGGCTAGTCCATATTTTAGTACTGTAATTACCAAAAGAAAGAAATAACTTAGAGTTCTGCAGTGTGGTTGTGCTAGAGGGCTACACAGTATGCTGCCCAAGTAGCCATTGCTGCTGTGACGTAAATACTTTCTTGCAAGGCAAAGGAGTAAATCTGCAATAGACTTAAAATGTTTGAAAATGAATGATCGTCTGTACTGAATTCTGGTATTTCTTCTGAGGTTTGACAACTTCTGTCATTTCCATGGTACTCCTGTCCCTGGCACAGAGCTATGTTATGAGGGATTTGACTGTAAACTCATGCAGGTTGTGGGCAATGAAATATCTTGTAAAAATGTGTGGAAATACTCTCCTTTCCTCTTACATATGGATCTCTAACCCAGCAGAGGGTGCTGGGGTGGTGGTATGCAGCACCGTTTTGCTTTGAAAAGAGTATGCTCCACTTTCATAGTATCAACCAAATCATTCCAAGAACCTGCACCCTCAGTGTACAGGAATACCAGCAAGGGAATCTGCAGCTGGTTCATTGTGGTCATCAAAGAAGCTGTATTAAAACAGCTCTTATTTTATGTACAAAAACCTGAGGTCTCACAGTAGTTTGAAAATTGAAGGTAAATTATTGTGCTGTTACAATTATGCATTATGAAATAAGCCAAGATATTTACAGATTGATTTCTGCAGTTAGACTATTTACGTAATGTAGGCTAGGTTGCAGAATTACTTTGGGTAAGTGCAATATCTTAGGTCTGATGTCTGAGGTTGAAGATGAACCTACGACAGAAGTTTCCTACGCTTGTAATAAAATGAATAAGTAAAAAAAATAAATTATACTTATGGAGAATTTGTCCTGTCAGTGGCTGGTTATCCTCACTTTTCCATAACGGCATCTTACTTGTAACTTGGTTTGTTAAAAGTTTGTTAACTTCAGCGTCAACCATTCATCTTGTTAAGCACTTACATGCTGTGTTGAGCTCTGTATTATAAGATTCCTGTGATCCCATGGACATTAAGTCATTAATAAACCCTGTAATTTGATTACTGAAATAAATTGGGCATTTTTTCTTTTTAACTGAAGCCTTGTTTTGGAATTCTTTGAAAATTGGAAGAGTTAGTAAAATTATTTTATCCCCCATCCTGAACTTGGGTAGTTATGTATTTCAATGCATGGAATGTCAGTAATAATTGTACGGTCTTTTTTTAAACTAGCCTATCAAACACCTTCGGAATCAGCCATTACATTGTTTTGTTTAGGTAGTACTAACATTTACCAGGTAGATTTTTCTCCCAGTTTAAAAATGCTTGATAGTACTTAGAGCCAGTTTTACTGTATTTCATTCGGCTCCTCCCTGCGTTGTCTGTTTTCAGGTGAGCGTTCTCTCCTCTTTAACTCAGCTGCAGTATGTGTTTATGCAAGTAATAAGATGGACTGTTTATATCATAACTCCCCTCTTCATAATAGTTTCTTTGCCTCTGATCCTTCAAATCCAGCTTCCTGCTCCCTAATAGCCACATTTCCATTATGTCCATTGCCTCTCCCACTAGCAGAGACCTTGCATAAAGAAACAAGGCTTTCTGGATCTGCAGCATCTTTAAAGGGAGGGAGCTCCAGAGCAGCAGCAGATTCTGAGGAGGCAGTTTATTTGACCCAGGCCTTTTTCAAGGACATTACCTGCAGATTATCAGAGATGTGCAAATGCAGTGAACAGAAGGCTACAGATACAGATTTTGTTCTTAAAAATGTAGGCACCTTAATGTGTTAAATCTTTGTCTTGTATTATCCCACTTCTGTGTCTTGAGATGAGCAAAGAAAGTCTTTATAGTGCTGCATTGTTGTATTTCACTTTGCAGGGGAAAAAAAAAAAATGGTCCAGGAAGGAAATATAACATATAATCACATCTGGTAGTAGCTTGGCAGCAGTACAGTTCTGCGTACTGAGATTGCTCACCGTTTTAAAGAACCATTGCAATGCGTTCAGTAGTTCCTGAATGTCAGAATAATGAATGTTTTGTGTCATGTTCTGTTAAAAACAGTTTACAAGTAGTAATGATGTCTAGATCTTCAGGTTGTTTTTGTGATTCAATGACTAACACAACTGTAATTTCAATTCCTTTTACTTCTTGGTCATTGGGGGCTTGAGGTTGTATTGCAGCGAAGGTGTTACGCTAGGCTAAATGCTGTAAAATGATAGCATTTGTTCTTCCTTTTCACTATCATCAATCTTTCACAGTCATATCAGACCCCTAATGTATCAGCAGGCTTCCCAGAGCTACTGGTTAAAATTACCTCTGCTTTTGGTAAACTATGAACCTTCAAACCTCTGTGTTTTCAGCTGCCCCCTGTGGATTCTGTGAAGCCTCTTTCTGGCACATTACTCACTGCCAGCTACTCGCGTCGTGTCTCAGAGCAGCAAAGGCAGGGCTGCTGCTACCAGCTACGAACCAGACTACTATTAAACTTCTTTTTGTTGTCAGATGAATTCTGCCAACAAAGCGTCAGAATATACTAAACCAGTGCATTAATTAATGAATGCAAAATACAGCTATACAGCTGGAAGTTTTTGGGGGTGTCCAAGCTCACAAGTCCTTAAGACGAGTTCTGCCAACAAAGCATCAGAATATACTAAACCAGTGCATTAATTAATGAATGCAAAATACAGCTATACAGCTGGAAGTTTTTGGGGGTGTCCAAGCTCACAGGTCCTTGAAGAAAAAAAACAAACAAAAAACCACCCTAAAAAAAACCTGAACAAAAAAAAAAATTGAGGGAAGTAAATATGAAAGCTGTCATGCCAGATGTTTAATTGTACCCGTTAAAGTACTGCTGTTGATACATTAGAATAACAGAGTTGCTTCTGGATATTCTGGTAGCTGTTTTGGTGTTGCAGGCCACCCATCTGTGTGCCTCTTCTCTCTCAGGGAGAAGACCATTCTTGTTGATCATTCCTTTGTTGTGTGTGAATAAGAATATCCTATGAGAGTAAATGTTTTTCACAGCACTCTGTCATCTTGAGTTGCCTTTCCCCAGCCTTTCTCCCTATTAATCTCTTGATCTTCCGCAATCTCAGTTGGGAGCTGCAGTGATTCCTCAGGCCGGCGCTGAGGGAGCCTCTGGGGAGAGGGGCTGCAGCACCCTCGGCTTTCCCAGGGCTGGAAGTCTCCCCTGAAATATTTAGGGGGCCAAATCCATTGTAGGATGCAATATGGGACCTCTGTCCTTGCATATCTGTTAGAGAAGCGCGTTCTCAGTTTGTGTTGGCTTGGAATATTGTTTTCAATATTGTTTAAGGAGATCAGTTGAAATGGTGAGTTACCAGCGAGTTACCAGCACCAGTGGCCTGACTTCCCTTCCCCCCGAAGAAAGTGTGGCATTCTTTGAGATGTCAGCTGTTCTAAAGATAGGGCACATTGTCAAAGCAAACCGCTTAACTTTTGGAAATGATTAGAGTAAAATTATTAATCTGGTTAATTAAAACAGATTTGGATGCACCACGTATTCAGTATATCTCTGTTTCAAATATTCATACAGAGATGAATTCTGAATAGATAAGGCTAATTCAGAGATGAAGTGACATGAGATCTTTGTGTTAAATAGTGTGAGATTCATACTCTAATTTTCATAGTTTGTAGTGAGAGTGCTGATTTTAATCTCTGGCTGTGTTGCAAGATGTTTAGTTCCGAAACAAGCTCAACTTGTTTTGACAGAATATAGTTGGTTTTCATCGTCAAGATTCAGTGCTTAGGAAAATATTCCACTCAAAACTGAAGTAAAAAATCTATTTGGATTTGTGACTCTTTTGCTGTTAGGCAGTCATTTTGTGGGAATATAGGGACAAAGTTCAGAGACAATGCACCAAGCTTGCCATTATTTTTTGTAACTTCTTTTTTTATTAATCTGTCACATACGAAACCATCACTCGGATACTTTTTTTTTTTTAATTTTTTTTTTTTTACAGAGCTGAAATATTTCTCAGAATTTCTCTCATCCAAGTAGCTTGTGACAGAGATGGGTAGGGTCTGATTAAAATCAAGGGGAGAGATGTCCTGGAGTATCCGATGTAAATTTGCTCTGAGACAGTCCTAGTAAATGCTGCTTTTCAAGAGCAGACGTCTCCAGAGCTCCCAGCTCTGAGGCAGGATTAAGCTAGAGCAGCCACAGATTGGGGAGCTGAAAAGCCCTCCCCGAGTCTAGCCCTGCAGCAGATGGCCGAGTCACTTGTAGGAACCTCAACTTCTGCTGGGCTTGCAGGTTTTCCTACCTTCCTCTCTGGGAAGTTGAAGATCCTGAATTTCAGGCTCAATTTTAATTTCAGATATTCAAATTAAATCATGTTTATTAGTTTCAAAAGCAGCTTTTTCAGTTTTCTATATTCTTGAAAGAAAGAACAGACAACTCATTTAATTTTTAAAAAAATATAATTAAATAATTCAAGTAATAGAAGAGAATTTCTAGCCGTTGTTATTTCCAGCCACAGTGATAACAGTTTGGAAAAGAGTAAGGATGTGTGTGTGGGGGGGTTGTGGGTGTGTGTAGTATGTTTCCCTGGGTTCTTTTCAGAAGAAAATAATTACTTTCGAGCTTCTTTAAAATTAAAAAGTAGAAGTATTCTCGATATCAGTAGTGAAAGTAAAGCTCATCAGATGAAATAGATATTAATTCATCTGTATTTCTATCAAACTGAAGAGTCATAAGTATGAATAGGAATTATATGTGTAGCAAAATAAGAATTATAAAAAATGAAAACTGTTTTTCAGCCAGGAAGACTGTACTTTTGCTACTATATAACAACAAAAATTTTCATTCAAAAATACTTGTGTATTTATTGCAGTTGGTACACCTTATTACATGTCTCCAGAGAGAATACACGAAAATGGTTACAACTTCAAATCTGACATCTGGTCTCTGGGCTGTCTGCTGTATGAGGTAATATTGATATATACAATTAACTTAATAATACTGTTTTGCTCCCCACCCCCTGCCCTCCACCCCCAACGTATTACATATTGTTCTAGGATCTATTTCTTTTTTTTTTTCATTTAGAAAAATACGTATCCTTGTAGAAAAGGTACTGTTCAGCTATTGTACGTCTCTAATATTAGCGCTGAGAACTCTTACATAACGTCAGCACATAAAATACTTTTATTTGTGTGTTACTCAGGACTTGTCTTTTACAGGGCTCGCTACAAAGATTTTACAGCAATTTGTTGAAGGTTGGGCATAACTGAAGGATTTATAAATGAATAATGGCAAGCATGTATGAAATCTTTTTAGGTGGTTTAATGGCCAGTGCCGATTATATGGTTTCGGTAATAAGTATACTGAAGAAATTGTTGGACTGACTTGAGTATACAACTAATGATTTAAAAAACTGCAATATTGTTACCTTATTGCAAGTTTAGTTTCTTTAAAATTGTTTAAAATCTCATTAAAATAAAAAAAACACACTACAGTGTACTTATTGCTACTAGCTTAGATGAGCTCTCAAGATAAAAACTTCTGCTGCACAGACATGTAATTTTTCTACTCTTCAGTTGGTTAATCTAAATTATTGGTCAGTTTCTGTATCAATATGGTGTAGGATTGGTAGGGGACAATTTTAAATTATATTTTATTCTGAGAAAATATAGGGTTAATTGAAATTGAAGCAAGTGAAGGTGTGAAGAACAGGTAGGCTTCTAAGGCAATTACATCTTCAAAGTTCTTTGTGTATCATTTGTTGATCTAAATGCTGATCTAAGACTAAACTATTGTGTTGAAGGATGCTGAAAACAATTTTGTTTCCATCAGCAGTGGCAGGGAAGTCTTTTTGGTCGTGTTCCAGATAAAAGCTAACGTAGCCAACTGGCTTTTACCTGCAAGCCTCCTGCCTCAGTGAGTCAGCAGAACTCACTTAACACGTACTCAACAGGAGCAGCACATCCTGTTATTTTAGCTTTTCATGGAAGGCATTGTCAGCCTCTTAAAGTTGTGTGTTACTACTAGGTCAGTAGTCTCCCATAATATTAGTTCACTTTCTATCACTAACTGTTGCTTTAAATATTAAAAGGGCAAATAACTATATTGCAGTTCTGCAGAGTTTACAAATCTATATATAACTGTTGCTTCTAAATCTTTGGGACAGTTCACAGGAATGAAGTCCAGTACCTGATAGCAAGCATTTCGAAGTTTAAATCTGAACTAAATCTTAATCTGATACTGGGATTCTGTAACACTGACTGTGGCAACTGCCATTAATTTCAGTGCTCCCCTTTAGGCTCCTGCTTGCACAAGTGTGTAAAGATAGCATAAAGGTAGATGAAGATTTTTCAGTATTACTACTTCTTTTCCCCTCATTGGTTTTCTTGAGCATTTATTTAAAATCTGGAAACAAACAGAATAACTTTGAATAACTAATTATTGTATTAAAAAAAAACCAACGTGTTTTAAGGCTAATTTTTCCTCTGTTGTATAGTATAAAATTGTTGGATAGAAATCAATACCACTTTTCTAAATAAGATTTTTTTTTATTTAAACTTGCTGCTTTGATGCTGGCATGGCATATCAAACACCTATGTGAATATTAAATTTTTCTTTGATCTGGTAAATAATTTCAAAATAGCTAAATATCTTAATTCCGTTGGTTAACTCAGCATCTTTAAATACCATTCTCTTTTTATTTATTTTAGAGGTTCTACCAGGATGGTATTTAAGTGGATATGATGTTATGTTTGGATTTTTTCTTTATTGTAAAAACAAAGTAATAATTTGAATACTTATTATTGATACATAGCTATAGTATATGGCAACTTCTTCAACTATATTTTATTTTGTTTTCTAAGAGGTGCCTTTGCCCCATTTAGTTAATTCTACAACATACCAGATGTTTGGTGTTTGGTGGGGTGGTTTTTTTGTGGGTGTTTTTTTTGATCATTGAAATGTAATTTTGAAATTTTAGGTGTAGTAAACTCAAAATATATCCTTGCCATTTTTCTCTCTTATTATTTGAAAGTGGTTACTTAAGGTTCTTCAAGACGTGTGGACTAATGCATGGTATTTTTATTATCCGTGCAGTTTTGTGCTGGATGTCTTTTTGTGACGTGTCTATTACCTGCATTTTAGCATGTTCTATTATGTTGATTTCATGTTGATATGTGCTCATATCTTCTCTGGATTCTCTCCAGCTTAATTGGAGAAAGCTGTGGCATCTTTATCACTTCTCAATAAATGCTTAATTGCTGCTAAACGCTTTTCAGTTATGTTTTAATTTAAGACTAATTTGCTATAACCTATGTTGTTTTTAAAAATTATTATTTCTAAACTATATTGCAGTCTATTATTCAATGCTAAGTATGTGGCCAGTAATATTTTTAAAAGTATATTTTAAAGTCTGATATTTTTTTTAGAGCCCCAGGTATTTCTGAAACCTCAAAAACACTGCCACTGGAGTTTTAATTGATATGCAACAAAGTAGACTTTACTAATTAAAATCAAGATGCTGTGCTTTTGCTACATGGACCTTTACATGGAAAAGTAGGTTTTACACATTTCCTTTTATTGTTCAGCGTAGCAATTGCATCCTTACAGGGTTGTAGGTTGGTGGCTTACAGTTCAAAAAAAAAAAAAAAAAAAGGGGAAAAAAAAAAAGAGAGGAAGAGGGGTCCCCCCAGCGCCGAGGCAAA